CAAAGTCTTCCCAAGCCCTGAATGCTGTTCCCTGCTGCTGCTGCTGGCAATGGCTGCCTTGTGGCGCCGTCCCACGTTGGGATTCCTCTTCCCTTCCCAAGCAGGGATGCCTGGTATATCTGAGGGGAGGGCCTGGTGCTCTTGGTCACCAGGGTGCCTGGAGGCACATTTCTCAAGGTGTATTGGGTAAGAAATCGGGAGGGAGAGGAGGGGATTGATCTGAGCAAATTCTCTAGTGGTCACTGGGGGTGGGGGTGGGGGTGGGGGTACGTTTTCAAAGTTGGGAGCCCTGACTTTGAGAACATACCTGTGATGACTGCCAAGGTACCGCTGTGCTGGGCCTATCTCCAATGAACCCCTAAATCTCAAAGCGCCGTTTGGTGGAAGCCACCAACGTGCCTGATTTACAATGAGAAATTGCTGAAGTTGTCTGACCCTGGCCTTTGGTTCTGCACCATCACCGGTGGGTGCCCACCATCTGGCATTCAGTAATGCCTAATTTAGCTGGCACTCTCAAATGTCACTTTAAGATTTTGGGTTTCATGTGAACTAAAACTTGGAGGGGTGGGAGGATGGGATGGGTGGGTTCAGGGGTGGGGATGTGTGTGCAAACCTTCACGATGAACCAAAACTGCAAACAGGCTTTTGCCTTCGTCCCTGTGCACTGAAACCCCTTGGTTTTGGGCAAGAATCTCGCTCCCATTAAACTGTCGCCAAAACCTAGCAAGCTAGAAGGCAACTCCTAACTTCTAAATAACCAGATCAGTTGCCCTCTGTGTACTCCTAGACCCCTTCTTCAGCTGAGACGCTTGTCGAAGTCAGTGGGCCACATCCTGAAAGGCTTGGAGTGCCCTCCTTTGTTGCCTTTTCTCGTCCATTATTCAGGCAAACCTCCCAGAGAAGCCAGTGGGAGATTTTTGCCTGGGTAATGGACCTCTGGGATGTTCTGACCCAAGAGGCCTATTGATGCCACTGATACTCGGAAAAAGCCAGGTGCCCTGGATCGCAACAGCCTCTGGTGAAATGTCCCTGTGATAAAATTGTTATGCCCTAGCAAAGGCAGCCGGGGTGGAACAGGCTAGATGGAGAGTTTGGGGGGTGAGGGACGGTTAGGGAAGGTGGTGGGGATTTTAATCAATGTAGTTTTTTGCTCTTTAGTCTGTAGGTGGACTTGTTCATGCTCCTAGAATGCGGGTCTGGTGCATCACAAGCCCTTTCCCTTTTCTTAGCTCTTGCCCACCAGGCTGACTCTGTGGAGGAGACAGGACCTCTCTTTTGCTGTGTCCTTGGGCAGCTATAGGAAACTCAGTGATGGCATGAGTGACATGGGAGAAGCTAGAACCTGGTGTTCAAATCTCACGTGGTTCCTCATTGGGAAGATGATTTTATGGTTGTAACAGTTGCCAAAATCTTAGCCACAGCTTTTCTGCCTTGGGTATCTAAGAGCAATTTCCTCTTTCCCCTTCCCCTTCCCTCCCAAGGTTGTTCATTTGGCCTGATGATGAGCAAAGCCGCCAGGGAGTGTCTTTGCACGGTTAAGTCGCTGAAGGGTATTCTGTTTCCTCCAGACTGTGACAACAGCGCACTCGCAAAAGGAATTGGGGTGGAGTGGAGAAGGCAAGGGGAACGCTTTATTAAAAACAAAGCGCTGCAATTGCAATATTCGGTCCCAAGAGTCTGAAGGGCATGGGGGAAATGGGGAATCCCTTTGTAATAATATTGCTACTTTATACTCCAGTAATTGCCCAACACGTGGTAGCAAGGCTCCGGCAAGCTGTAGCTTTTTAGATTTGTTCCTGGAGAATACTGCAGTTCATAGCAATGAGGTCAAGATAAAGAGTCTGAAGTTCAGGGGCATTTGGGTCAATGGTTGTATTTTATTCTCTAGCTCCGAGCCTGTACTGAGAACCTCATGGATGGGACCCCTGCACCTGCAATAGTGTGATCAGGATATACAGTCATAAGGGAGAACTCAACCTGCCGGCCCACTAAGAAAGAGCTTGCTATCAGCGGGAGAATAAGGACCTGGGGGGAAATGTGACTGCAAGGCACCCACGTCTGTGTGGGCAGGGAGGTGGTCACAAGTGGATGGGCATCTGCTTAGGTTGCAGTGAGAAGTGCCAGTAGGAAGTCAAGTTTGCATGTGGTGATAGAGACAGGTGAGAGGGTGAAGGAGGAAGAGAGAGTGAGCAGCATTTTCATTTCCTGAGAGGGGCAGTCCCCAGCCCTGACAGTCAGGAGAGCCAGCACAAGCAAGAGGAAAGTCCCTCACTTATGTTGCCTTGCTCACACATTAGTGGTTTAGCAGGAGGGAGAAGGACTAACTATTGTTGTGACGGGGAGATAGCAGGGGGCTTTTCTTGCACACATTTCTGGCTGAAGTGCAGAGGTTTTGGCAGGGGGCAGGGTTTTTGGTTGGTCTTTAAGTGAGACAGGCCTGTGGGCAGGTGCGTGGGAGTGGTGGCAGGCTGCAGTCATGTCTGTACTGCACCAACACTTTGGCTTCCCTTATGTGCCATTCCTGTGTGCCTGTGAATAGTTCTTCAGAGCAGGACTGCAGAGCTCTGTTGACTCAGTGCGGGGATGCCTACATGGCAACAAGGCAGCACCATGCAGATACCAAGCTACCTCTGAAGCCGCTAGCTGAAATACCAGAAGCAGCACTGCTGCTTTAGCCTGCTGCTCCATTCAGCCCGTTATACCCTGTTTTTCAGCAAGGTTCTCCTTCAGAGCTAGCTTGGGTATCTTGGCATGGCACGGTGCCATGGAGGTGTACCCTAAGTGTCCATGGATGTGCAGCGGGTTTTCTCCAGAGCAGCTACCATAGACCCCATGGATGCTACAAGTGTCCATGTAGTTGTACTGCCTTGGTGTACCATGCTGCTGTACTCCCTTTGAAATTATGGGTGTGCATAATGCATCCTGTGCAGCAGACCCAAGGATCATTAGAGGCACATGTTAAGTGCTTTTGATGCCCTGTATGTTCGCGGAGCCCTGTGGATGACAGCTGAGGTCCAGCAGACACTGGACTCGCAGCGTGGAATTGTTGTGGCTAGAAGGCTCCGACAGGTAGCGACGAGGGAGGCTGGGAAGGCCTGGGGAAGTATTACCAAGGAGTTATAACAGGAGGGGCTGGTGGAGCCATGCCCCGTGGGATGAGAGCCAGGTTCCAGGATACCCTGATGGTAGCTTGGCCAGCTGGCTGAGAGGAGCCTACATAGGCAGGCCCAGCGTGGTTTGCAGCTCCGACCTTCCCGTGAGGGCTTAGCCTTGCAGAGACTGCCCAATTTGAATCCAAAGCTCTTTCTGTGTTTGTAACCGTGCACTATATGCAGCATGCTTCAGCACACGCAGGATACAGTATATAGTGTGCATTAGGCCGAGTGCTTGAGTGGCCATGGGACATGGTATATGCTAGGCATGGGCACAAACGGGGCTCTCCAGCACGTCAGCGTGAACCGTCAGCCTCTCCCCCCCCCCCCC